TTTGCCAGTGACTACTCTGAATCTTTCTCTGGTTGTTCTGTTCTCTTTGAACACGGAGAACTGACTGTTCCTGTTCTGTGTAACAGTCTTCAAGCACGTAGAAAGTTCCACTAATATTCCCCCCACAAGTGCTACCTCCCATAACCAAACCAACCTCATTTATTTAAATCTTTCTCTCCCAAGGTGTTTTTTAGGCCTCTCTCCCTTCTTATTACTCCTCTGTGGGTTTTCTCCAGTTCTTTCAATGCGCTGAAGTTCTCTGTTCAAAGCTGGAAATAACCACTCAGCCGAGGTGAGTTCCACGTGTCCCGTTGAACTGAGTGGTGGAGGTAGGTTGTGTCCTGAAGGCTCTGCTCCTTGCATTCCCACTTTTCTGCAGCACTGGGATGCTGTTGACTCTTGCTTCTCTTGTACAACCTCCAAGCCTTCGGTGCCAAGCTGCTGCTGAACCAGTCACTTTCCATTCTGTGTCTGTGTCGTTGATTCTTTCTGATGAAGCAGAGTGTATTTTCATTTTCCTGACGGGATTTCATTCCGTAGGCCTCAGACAATATTCTCAATAATGTGAGGTAATTTTTCGCTCTGATTCAGTCAGTCTTCCAGCTTGCTTCCAGACCACCCCAACTTCGTATTGGCCTTGGCAAAATTGCTGCAGAGCTCTGTGAATTCCATTCTGAGAAGGGACTGCTGTCAGAAGGAACTGCTTTCAAGGCACATCATCACACCATGTTTGCACTACTGGCGTCAGATGCCTCTAGATTCATCCCTAAATAATTTGTGAGACTGCTGTGTTAAATAATGCTAAAGAATTCTCATTATTACATTCTGTACTCAGGTGAAAATAGAGAGCTGATGACTATTTTTTCAAGTTAGCCAGGTATGAACTACAGTGCCTGTTACTTGTGCTATTGTGGCACTGAGGCTGAGCTAACAAGCCTTACAGAGAAAGTACAAGAATTCAAGTGATATTCAACATTTGAACATAGATTTTGGCTCTTAAATAAACATGCTGTAATTATTTACAGAGCATAATAACTATATGAAGTATTTTGCAAAATAAACCAGTCAGGATCTCAGCTGAGAGAGGTTTACAATCCAGCTAATAGAAAGTTAAGGCACAGACGTTGGTTGTAATAAAACCAGAGCAGCAAAGCTTTTTAAAGTTAGTGCATTCTGAGGAGAGATGGAAAACAGGGGGCAATAAAGACTTGAAACTTGGGAACTTTTTGAAAGCATAGAATAGCACAGAATAATCTGAGTGAACCAGGCAGTGGTAATACAGGAATATAAATAAAGAAGTTGTGATGAAGAGGAGGCAAGGGCAGAAGAAATCAGAAGGAGCATTCTATAGATGCATGAAAATGATTTTAAGGCAACTGATGGGATAAGTATGGAAGGCCTCAGGGAGAGTTTAGTTAGTAGCTCTCCATTTTGGCCTTAAAAATCTTTGTTTAAATCTTGGCATTCTAAATAGCCTTGCTTTTTATCTTCCACTTAAGCCTGATCAGTACCTTTATTTAGAAGGGAACATTTAAAGCCAAACTGCCACCTCAAGCACCCTTCACTGGTTACTTCCACTCTGACTGAAGGAGCAGTAGGATGGCCCCAGTCCCCTGACGGTGCAGTCGGTGGTGTCAGTGTCACAGGTCTCACAGTGACATTCTGTAGCTACTGGGTATGAATAGAAAGATTCAGGGTGGTCACCACAGCCAGGGATCTTCACTGTTTCGTACACAACCTCCTTGAAGGTGCATGTTTGCTGAATGGATGATACTGGTGGGTATTTGTACACTGGATCCTGAAATTACAAGAAGGAAAAAGCTGTTTTGAAATTTGCTAGAAAATACAAATTTTATACAAATTCCAAATTTGTATAAAATAGGAAAATCCCACAGGGGTCAAAAGGTTTTGGATCTGACTCTCCTAATTTCACTTAGATCCTTAAATTTTGCCTTTCAGGACCGATATGGCAAATCTGGGTCATACCATCTCCAGACAGTCTTTCAGGTCAATTGCTTGGTTCTACAAATTATTTTAAAAAGTAGGAGTCTACATAGTGTCTGCTTGCAACCACAAATCGAACACAAGGCAGAGATCCACACTGCCATACTTTTAACTCTAATTATACAATATAAACACAATGTGAGCAGCCAGTTAAAGAACTGAGTTTTACTCGTGTCTTTTCGCCCTCCCCCTTCTTCAGATTGGCTGTGTATCTACTTTCCTGTTACTCAACCTGTTCTTTCACAAGGCTCATCCTGCTGATGTGTTCAACTGGAGAAATGGGTTGTTCATACATCACTTGGAATATTTAATTCTGGTGCCTGGAATTAAAATTAGGAGCCTCACCCTCGTGAAGCAGTATCCGGAGCACCACGTGGCGTTCACTGTAATGCAGAATTCACATTCTTCTCTTTCCACTGCTATGGTAATATTGGTGAGCTGGCAGCTGTTGCAACAAATTGCTTTCCAGCAAAATAACAGCACGTAGCAATTAACTGTCTTCATCCTGTGTATAAAGCAAAAAAAATATATGTGTACCAGAGACACACGTATAGTTTTTTCAACAGGAAATGTTTATTGAAACAGGGAGAAATTGAGTCTTTGCATTATCCTCAAGTAGTTCTATAATAGCAAGCTTTTGGAAACATCAGTGAAAACAGAGGTATTAAATAGGTCTATCCTTATGTTTATTGTTAGAGGAGTTTGATTTCCCTAAGAACTGAAATGGAATGTCAGCAATCTTTGCAGATTAATAAAAGCAGAATACCATACCAGTTTCAATGAAATATTTTTATCTAAGTTTCTGTACAGAGAATGTGTCCTGTCTTTAGGAGAAAGAAAAAGAAGCAAGGGAGAGAAAGCACAAAGGATAATGTATTTTCAGAAGCAACTAATTACATAAAGTGCTTGTAATTTGAAAAAAGATTTCTAGATCAGGATCTGATGAAAACTTACCTGTATTCTGCTTGCCTCCCTGGTAGTAATAGCTGTAGTGAGAAGAAAGTCCTATGCTTCCCTTTTATACTGAACTGTGTGTAATTTATACGTTGAGGATTTGCAGTGTATTAATGCAGCAGGCATTAGTTTGGGACCTGGTGAAAGCGGATTAGTGTTCAGCCAGACAGTGAGATTAAGCCTTGTTAAGGGGAAAAAAGAAAAGCCAAACACACTCAGGAAGTGATGGTGAAGGTTACTGTCACAGTGTCTCTTTAGAAGTTTCACTGGATTTGATTCAGTGGCATTTAGAAATAGCTGAGCCATTCCACAGTTTGAAAAAAAGGTTGAAAAGCCTGCTTTTGGAAAAGAAGAGTTCAGGTATTTTAACTGTGTTCTGTGTCAGCCCTCAAACTGGGGTTTGGGGTGCAAAGCTGGTCCTCTGGTGGTGGAACACCCTTCCCAGTTGGAGATGTTGTTATAGTGTTTCTTGCCTAATGAACATGTTCTTGGGGTTCTCAGAGTATCAATCTTAATTGCTTTTCTCTGAGTTAAGTCTTACCCACTGAGCTGCTTATGTACTTTCTTTATTGATCTGTGGTTCAAGGAAGCTAGTACTATGAATTTTGTTAAGCCATGAAGAATTACAATTTTCCTTGCTGTTCCTAAAAGCACTGTGGTTTTTCTATCCCAGTATGTGCGGTCCTGGTTCCTGTCTGCTGCATGCTCACATTTTTTTAACTTATGCAAGGGACATCTGTATGGTGGAAAGGGACAACAAGGATGTCATAACGAGGCTCCAGATCTGTGTTTTTATGTCAGTGATCTCAGATCAAATATTTTCATGTTACAGGGAAAATGCTAATATTTTTAACTGACAGCCATGAAAACTCAGTTTGACCGTATTCCCTGGTTTCCCATGATAATAAAAGATTCTGTGGGTAGTGTTCCCCTGCTTACTGCCCTTTTCTGCACTCACAAGTGAGTGGTGTGTGCCTCTTCACCAGAATAATGACAGAAAAAGAACTTTGTTGAGTTTCATGTATCACTTCTGGGGAAAATGACTCACAGCAGCGCTGTATTTACTATCACCCACCCAGAATAGCAGGTCTTGCTTTGTTTTGACTGTTCTAGTATGGTCAGTCTGACTTTGGCAGAAATCCATCCACAGAAGAAAACTAGACAAGGACATACAGCTAAAAGCATTTTATCCTGAAAAGAAATTCACACTGGCCTATTAGTTTCCAGCAGATGGGGTGCTTTTCTAAGTGGCTTTTACAAATGAGCCCTTTAAGTGTGTCACACCTTCCTGTGGTCCTGCAGACTGGCCATCTGTTCCAGCTTCCATGAACTCTGCAATGCCTTCCTTTGTTAATGAATTTCACATCACACCAAAGTTAGAAAGTGAGCTGCAAATTTTCCCTGGACGTCTCCTTTGTTTGAATGAGAAGACAGCTCAGTTAAATGTATAAAGAAGACAAGAAACCAGACATTTTCCTCTGTGCTAATATAAACTCTGTGATTGTTTGATAGTGGTCTTTTGTGTCAGTTGGTGTCAACACCGAGTCTTCTCAGAGAAGATTGATGTAAATCACTAATTCCAGAAATGCCAGACAAAAGCTGATTACAATTTGTTATAACCCTAGTGAGGATCTGGTCTTTTCTAAGTAATTTATACTTGCTCTAAGTAATTTATGCAAATTAAATGAAACTAAATAAATGTAATTTGCAAAGGACAATACAGAAAACATCTAATCTCTCAGTTGCTGTGATCTGTTTCATGACTTGAAGAAGTCATACACATCCACTAAAAGCACAGTTTCACAAGCAGAGAGTGCAAGTTCAGTCCCTGCCATGCTGTTTCTTCCCTCCCCTAGTTCCTTCTTTTGGCTCACTCAGCCTCCCCACTTGTGGAAACACAAATTAGGGAAATCATTCTGTTAAAAGTAAAAAACCAAGACCAACCCAGCTGCCTTTTACAGCACTGTTGTTAATCCATATCAGTTTGTTCCACAGTGGGAGGAACAGCTGTAGCAGGGTAAGTGATGGGGTTGACTGGGGAGTGTGAGTGAAGGTTGAGGTTAACAGGAAATGGTTCACACATGTTCATGAAACCACGTTGCAAACAGAACACAAACTTTTTTTGACAGGAAGATTTTGTCCTGCACTGACTTCAAGGGCATTTGTTTCTGTAATCAACAGTTCTAGGTTGAGTCTCCAGCTATCAGCTCTGCTACATTCAATGTGAGAGTATATGAATATGCATTTTTAGGGTAACAGGAAATTGCAAATTGAAGTCAACTAACCCCCAGTCTGCCATTTGAGGAGCAGTAATTTGGTGAGTTATTACTTGGTTAACTTTGATTTTGATCTCACACCTTTTGCTAGAAAGATGCACAAAAGGAACCCCTTCTCATGAAGGGTGAGATGCTCTGTAAGTACATGCTTTTCTAAGATTATTAATTCATACCTCTGGGAAATGTTTATATGCTAATTGTATCTTACTCCTTCAAGTTTATATTCCCATTAGATTAAAAAGATTCTGGTAGTTTTGAAGGGAATAGCAAAATTATATATCCAAACAACTATAATTTTCACATATATGTGAACATTATGTGTAGGTTTTGTGTTACTGAAGTTTGTATCTATTTGAGAAATAGTAATGCTTTCCATTTTAAGTGGTTTATATTTCAATTTAGGGAATAATATCAGAGGAAGGAACACTTTCTCTTCACATACCACAGCAACTTTTATGTAGTGGTTTTATCCATCCAGTTCCCAAGCAGTATTGTCCACCCTAGATTTAGCAGCTGTCATTATGCTTCCAGGCTGGATGCTGGGTGTTGCCCAGACTGTCAGAGAAGAATTATTGTAGCCATATTCCTGGAATTCTCTGGTGGTTTATGTGTACAGCCTAGGAAAATGAAAAATACTGTGTTATGTCTATACAGAAAGATTAAGACAGATCTGCACGTGCTCTGCAATTCATAGGTCTGGAATGTCTTTGCAAATGGCCTTAGCAAAGCAGCCTTATGCTCTTTCTACACCTTTCTAGAATTAACTTATTAGTGGGTCCATTGTGCAGAATCCAAGCCACAGCAAGACCCGTGAGAGGGCTCAAGCTGCCACAGGATCCTGTAATTACATTATAATTGGGAATGGGAGGGTCCTAAGGGAGCACTTAATGGTCAGGACCTCTGTCAAGGGAGATTGCTCTACTCCAACTGGAGTGAGTGCAGAAGTCTGGCAAATGCTGTAATGGAATATTTTCAACCTGAGCAAGGAGCTGGTTCATCAAAGTTTAGATATTCCTGTAGGTGAAGACTCACCAACTTTTGTGCAAGTCACAGTGGACATGAGATTCACAGGTTAATGCCTTAGTGGCACCTTGGGGAAATAAAAGGCTTCTCCTATTGCTATATTTTTTGTGTTCTGTGGCTGTTTCCCTTGGACTGTTTGCTGCTGTAACCTGGCAAGCCATTGTTACCATTGCTGTCACAAGGGAGCACTTGCCTTTCTATTTCTAATCACTTCAACCAGAAGTGCTGTGACACGTCCTGTTCTTGTTTCCTTTCTAGCAGTAATTGCTCTTTTTCTTCTGCTTTTCTGCTGCTTCTTTCTGCTTTTTCTTCTGTTTGGTGGTTGGTTGGTTTGTTTGTGGGTTTGTGTGTGATTGTGTACACTGGGGTTTTTTTTTTGTTTTGTTGTTTGTTTTTTTTCCCCTTGAAAAAATATCTAATACACAACAGAAAGCTTTATGTTCCTTATATGTTCTAAACAAATGCAATTTCTTTCTTTAAGTGGGATGTTGCTAAGACTAACAATTCTGTGATTGCAAGTTGTAGGTCTGCCTTGCTTAAAAGAAGGTAGTTTAGATCTTTCAGAGAACTTCAGCACCTGGCAAAGTGCTACTGGAAAACCTGGCTGTACGTGTGCAACTCATCCACCATGAGTAATAAATCTGACTCAGTCCTGATAGAAGATGTATTGAACCTTCTAGTGGGAAAAAACATGTCTGATATAAAAGACAGGTCTTACCTGTGAACTATTCCAGCTGCAGACTAGCTTTAGCTTGTAATATATTCTTAAATACTTCTTATATATTCTTAAACTTAAAGGTGTCAAGGGCCATGGTCTGAGGTTTGTTGCATTCGTGGTTGTGGTGACATGTTTTAGGTCTTGTTAAATTGTTTCTGAGGATAATAACTTCTGCATATGAAAGCTGGTTTGCATTGAAAGTATGTCTCAGGGCATGTCAAAGGTGCTTAAACCTATGGCTTAATTAACATTCCATGTGGTGGAACGGAATGAAGAGTTGGAGTTGGGCACTTCAGTGCCATCACACTGTGTGTGATGTCTCAAGTTTCTTTTGCACACAGCCTGTCCTGACTGAGCACTCTCCCTCTCCCTTTTTTTTTGTATTTGTCCAAATGTTTTTCTGCACAGGTCCAATTGAACCTGAGGTATATTGCTGCTCCCAGGTGATTGACTAAATTGATAGCCTTGAAGTACACAGCTTGCAAATTGCTTCTGAGGCTTTGCTGAAGTCTGTGCTCCCTGTATTTCACAGCAGAGCAGCAGAGGCCTGTGCTAAGCAAATTAACTGGAGTTTTGTTTTTCCCTTTTGTTGTTGTTGTTTTTGCTGCTTGCTACTGGTGGGAGATGACTTTTGTCATTGCATTACCTCTCTCTATGCCTTTGGGATTTACTGTTATTTTTACTAAAGTCAGTGGGGAGACCCTCATTGGCTTTGGTGGTAACTGCATTGAGAGGTTGGTCACTATTGGTCACTATAATTTTTACTGATATTGTTTTAATTTCCCAGCACTAATGATGCAGAACTGTGAAGTAGGTCAGGCCTGCTGAGCACATAGTTAGATAGTTGAAACTAATTAGTGTCAGCTAAAGACTTAATTATTAATGAAGAATTTGTATATGCACCCCTGTGCAAGCAGAACACTTGACCCTCAGGAGAATAAAGAAAATGCTAGAATGCATTGACTATGTATTTAGTAGCACAGGATTTTAGAAAGCTTTTGAGTTACCATTACTTGGAGCAAAGAATATACATCCTGTATTTTCAAATAGCTACACAAGCTGTTAGTCCTTCTAAGTCTTGTGGAAATACTGCTTGCAGTCAACAGCAGCAGAAACTAACCATTCTGGAAGGTGTTTAACAAACACAGAGCAGTGCAAGGAACAATACAGATGCTTATGTTGTCATTCAATTATCTTTCTTGCAGTTTTTGTCTCACATAAGTTCGTTCATGGCTCATTTTTATATCACATTACTAAATATTTAAACCAGCTGCATTTTCTTATGGTTTTTTGTATGCGACCTTAATCTGTTTGCTATTGCAAAACCACATCACAGTGTGATCTTGGTTCCTTATATAAGATCATTTGATAACTCCAGTGGTATCTGTTAGGAAATGTGCTTTAGGATTCTGTTCAAGATTAAATCAAGGCTAAAAATTATATATTTGCTAGAAATGCTCTTTTCTTCTTTTTTTTTTTTTTTTTTGGTCATACTTTCATTTTAACATATTACTTAGTTCCTGATTATTTTAATTTTCCAATGAAAAATATTTTTTATTTCCTGGGAGTAGCTTCTCTCTGTGTGAATAAGTAGTAGTTTTGATTCTGTGACTGCCCTTGAGCACTGCTGTTTTATTTTAAGCTTTCTGAGTGTGACTAGTGTTTTTCAACAAGAAAGCGTTGTAATGTATATAAAATAGATTAGTCATATTAGAGGAAAGTTGACAAAACAAGGAAAAGACCTGATGGACAACATATAAGATTATACATTCCACTGATAAATAATTAGCCAGGGTTTCCTTTTTGTTACGAGAGCAGTTCTTGGGTCTGTGTGGAATTGTCATTATGCTGTTGATAACAGCAGAAAGATAACCAAAAATAAAATAAAATAAACATATCTAAATATTCCCTTGAAAAGTCAAATCAAATTTGAGTATTTTGGTACAAAAGGTAAGTGCTTGAGAGAAAACAGGTATTTACCTTCATTGATACGACTTGCTGAGTGCAAAACCTGGAAATTTATGAACTAGGAGTCCTGGTTTCCTTTCTTGTCAGTGTTCACCACAAATGTCCACACGTTGTATCAACATTTGTTTTTTAAAAAGACTTTTATGTAAATAATACTTCAAGACCCAAATATTAAGGAATGACTGGAGTGCAAAGGACAGAGGCTGCCATTAGCAGTTTGTGTGAGGAATGTTTGCATTTATTTTCTAGGTGGGTTGTTTCACTGATCTGTCGTGTTCATATGTTGTTAAACCCATAAATTAAAAAAAAAAGACAGTGTTTCAGACCCTTTAATATTTCATCAGTATTTCTGTTATGTTTTGTAACCAGGTTAAGAAGCTGGGCAAACATTTGTCTATGATGGCTTTTAGGAGGGACTTCAGAAAAAGTGTCCATTTCTTCTAAAACAGTAGATGTGGCAGGACTGAGCCTTATTCACACACATAAAACAGAGCTGCTAATTATTTTCAAACTACAGCTCTAATATGCAGCATAAGGCTTATCTGAATCTTGCTGAGAGTCTGCACTGATAACAAAATCAGGTGGCTGCAGAACGATTCAGCACACTTGGGGAACGGATGAAAAGCCCACCTTATTTGGGTTTCTAAATAAAGTCTGAGGCAGAAGATGTCTGACCCATATTCCTTTTGCAAGTGCAGTAATTTTAGGTCAAACTGCTCAAGAAAAATAGGTTGAAAAGAATGCATACAGCCATAGCCACCTTCAGTAGTGATTTTAACATTTTATCTGACCAACTCCAGCTAAAATATTAACTGCTTTTAAGGATTCTAAACAACTTGTTTTTTTCAGCTTTCCTCTGGACCCTTTATTCTGGGGCATGGAGCCATTTTTGTGCAGAATATGGGGTGATGGAGCTGCACTCTGAGCTGCAGGAGTTTGATTGTGATCAGATTGCAAATTTGCAAAGACATTTCGTGAAACTATTGCAGGAATCAGTACTGCAGAGCTTTAACGAGGAAACAGATTGGAAGCTTAAAGAAAAAACTTTTCAGGTATCAGCCCAGTATATAGCTTAGTATGAAAACCAAATTTTGTTTGTTGGGCTGTATTAACTGAGTGATGAAATAAGAAAAAAAATAAACCTTCATCAGGAATCCAGCCAAATGCAATACTTGTTAAGACAAATATAATAATTTAAACCAGAGGCTTTATTCTTAAATAATATATGTATAAATTTGGCAGGTTCAGGCTTAAGCCGAAGTCTTAATTTTTGTTTATTTTGTGTAACACTTGTTGAAGCAAATCAACAATGTGGTCAGCAGGATCTCTGTTTACTGTCCTGAGGGAAAGATGCAGCTCTCTCCTTTCTCTCCCATTCTGCCTGTTTTGTTCATATGATACTCTCTGCTCACTAACCATGCCGTGGGAATGCCACTGTTCTTACTTCTTAAACAAACCAAGCTCTGGCAGGCAAGCAGAATTCCAGGGAGGGGAAGAGAACTATGGCCCTGGTGCTCCTTTTGCTCGTGACAGAGCTCGAGGTGTGTGTGACAAGCGAGAGTTTGGGGTTATTCCTCTGGTGGAAGAAACAAGTATCTCTCATCCCTCCAGGCGTTTTCCTGGCAGTAGTCAGACCATGACCCCAAGGTTTTCTTTGTTTTTCTGGTAGGAGCTCTCAGACTCCAGCACCCTAGTCCTGAACACCACAGTTCAGTTTGGCTCACGTTTCTAGGGGGCTTGACCCGGCATTGCCATGTGGTCAGTTTATTACAGAAGAAAAATCCCCAAATGATGAGATATTGAAACATAAATATCTCATCACCTTAATGTTCCTGAATTAGAAAAAAGCCCACCTGGAATGTGATAGCAGTCAGAAGATCAGCTTCATTTAATTCAGAGTATTGGGAACATCTTGCTGTCTGAGGGCTTAACATATTTTAGGGAACAATGCAGAGGCACAATATTTGTTCAGATAAATGCATGTTTAGAAAGCTTATTTGGAAGTGTGTTATTTAAGGTATTTTATTAAAGGGTTCTGGATCTGATGTTGTTTCCTTGGTGATCATCGAAGGCTGAGTAGAAAAGTGCACAAAGCAGTTTGTGCCATGCCATATCATCTTTTCATGCCTTCTCCAATCCACGGGGAAAACCTAGAAATGTTCTTCCTGATAGGAGAAACAGCATTATAATCTAAGGGATGTGAATTGTAGTGACCAGAAGCACTCCATTACTTAAGGGCATAAAAAAATACCTGGGAGGGTCTAATAGACTGGAGGAGCCTTCCATGTCTGAGAGCATGCACTGCACTAGATGTGCTCTGGTGGGATGTGTGGGCTGCTCAGCCTGTCAGATAAATACTCCTGTGCCTGCCATGATGTCAGCAAGTGGAAAGCTTCCTTACTGCAGAAAAGGAAAGCTGTTTGGTGGCTGGAACCTCGAGCCAGACTCTTGGCCCATATTGACATCAGAAAATACTGGTCGTCGTTCTCTTTGGGATCCTGGAGCTGCTCTTATCTTGCCAAGGGCCCTAGAAACTCATTTTTCCTCCCTCCCATTAGGAGATTGGGACCCTCTCCTCCCACCTCCGTGGCAAGTGTCAGGCAGGGAAGCCTGTCTTGGGAGGCAGTTGTGTGTGGGAATGGGGGAGCGTGGGATTCCAGGCACTGGAGTGGTGGTGTGGGAGTTAAAAACAGGGCATCACATAGAACAAGCTGAATGAGCTGGCCTATGAAACGTGTGTTCCCAAATGTGATTAGAATTACCTTGAAATTGGATACCAGTGGGCGTGGATCACCTTTTTAAATATTGATTTATGTTGTGTCTGTCTCAGCACAGCATTAAACAGCTGTTTGAAATGGATCAGTCTAAACACTGGCTGCTCAGCTTTAGAGGAATTGAAAAGTCGCTGAGCACAGATCCATTTGTAATCTCTGTAGTACTGCCTGAAAAAGAAACAGCCCTACTCAATTGCTTTATTAATTATATAAACGAGCAAGATCAGAGTTGCTGATAATTAAAGAGGTTTTATGGCTTGTTGTGGTGCCATCTCGTGGTTCTTGAGTAAAAGTTCCCACTTTGCTGAAAGTTACTTCCCGGCTACAGCAGAGTTTTGCAGCATTGCGGCAGGCAAAACTAAAATGCAAGGATTTGGAACTGAAACAGCAATTTTAGCCTCCTGGCTATTGGCCAGATTCCTGCCGTGCTCAGTCCTTTCCAGCTCTAGTAAAGCCTTTGGGCAAAAAGAAGTTTCCGAAATCTCACTGCAAGAGTGGTGATAATGCAGCAGTCTTGAAATGCAATGATGTTAATTGTGTCAGGCCATTTTGCTCGTCCCCGTGTATGAGAGGCATGGAGAACTGGGCTCAAGAAAACATGCCTTCCCTCTCCTTTCTTTCCAAACCCTGGAACCTTAAGCACAATCATTCCTGCTGGTGTGGAGTAGAGAATTGCTCTGAAAATGGGTAGGGAGAGTGCAGTCCTTCTGCTTCTAATGTGCCTTGTTTGGGATAAGGAGAGAAGATTTACAGAAAAGTATATATAGCAGTCCTCTCCAGCTCATTTCCACCTGCTCTTACAGAGTTTGTATACTGAGGGGCATTCCTCCTAACTTCAAGAGGTCTTTCTATGTCCTTGCTCATCTTACTATCCTCTCAACCTTGAAAAAGAATCATGTTTGTTCCAGCTGGTACTCCTTGTGTTCCAATGCAATGCTTTCAGCAGATTGCTAATGGAAGTCTGGTTTTTAGTAGGCTTTATTTTTGCTTTCAGTCCTCAAAAGCTAGGAAACTTTCAGTTGTGTTAAAGTGGTTATTTTGCAGCCTCCTGTTTTGTTGGTGTTGTCCACTATTTGTCATTCTCTTTTGCTATAACATTTTATCACTTTTTATTGCACCCAGAACGTTAGCAAGCATTTTCAGAAAAATGTTTGTCATATGTCTCTTCTTGAATTCTAATTTCTATCTGAATGACTTTTACATAATGATACCCCTGGAGGAAACTGTCAATATATCCATCTCTCTGATAAAATTTCTGAGTGTCTGTAATACTATGAATCTCACATTTGCTGGCCACGTGTGATTTAGTAGCTCCAAAGAGAGGTTGTTGCTTCACATCTCAGTTTCCATAGGCAGGGGACATAAAATCTTCAGAAGAGAGCTGATAAGCAAGGGAGTGTAAGGAAAAAAATTTCTTCTGCTGTAGAAATAAATAACCTGGAAAGGCTGTTATGTGGTAGTGCCACAGACACAGTCCTGGAAGAAGAGCTGGGAGTGGGTGTGTCCACTGCAGCCCATGGAATCCTGCTGTGCTCAGGGCAGACTTGTAAAATGCTCGAGGCAGATCTTTCAATGTCCTGAACACTCGAATCTGCACAGAGGTCTGGGTGAAGGGATTGGATCTCAGGCCTTGGGTATCAATCTGTTTGGCTTGGAAGACGCAGAAGGCTCGGTGGGTACTTTTGGGATCAGCTGAGAAAAGTTCCATCCTATGTCCACAACCATCCTCCCGTTATAGACAACCTTTGTGTGGCCTTGGATGAGGGCACAGGGACCTCTATGAGCAGAGCAAAGCTGCCAATGAAATCAACTGATAGTTACCTCCTGCAGCCTGCAAGAGAAGGTTTTTAATGAATTCCTGGGCTGGTGAACTGAAGAGACCATGACTCATTAGCCAGTGCTGGCTAATGCAAAGTGAGTTCAGAGAAAGGCTGGTTGCCACAGTGAGGGGACTAGTCATTACCTTCAGTACTATTTAAAGGATTCTAAGCAGCATTTAAGCCAATGTATTTGAATGGCTTGAAATGCAGATATTTTAAGACTGTAGAGCTGTTCTGCATATTCTCATATATTTTTGCCTTTTTGCATTTAAGGGTTGCCCCATAGAGCATCATGTGTGCTAGAGGCAATCCAGTGTTTGAGACCTATAAGCTCTGGAAAAAATGTCAGCATTCTGTATTCTTAATTTCTGCTCCTGACTACCAATGTCATCACCTGCTCCTGGATACTGGAGATTATTATAAGACTTGAATGACCTATTTAGCTGTTCTGAATTTCGAATGATGATTTTTTCCCCCCCTCCTTTATCTGCTGAATTTCTTCCCTCCCATCTCGTTTTAGCATAAAACAGAAATTGTGAAAGATTATTACACAGTTTTGTAAGGTATTGATCTCTAAATAATCTATGAAGGAAATAGAAGTCAAAGCTATCATGGCTACTAAAAGACTGGGGAAAGGAGGAGTCCTTGCTTTTCAGCCTTAGAAATAATAACATCTACCAGATATTCTCAAGTACCAATCCATGGGGATAGGAACAAGCTTTGGAAAGAAATTGTGCATTCCCAAAAAGCAGCAGTTGAGACTCAGAATTTCAAAGGCTTGTATGAACTTTGACATGCAGATGACATGATATGCCTGTTTTCCAGTGTGCATATGAAGATCAGAATTTTAATCTTAATGCATAACTCCCACCCCACACCGAGATCAGGTGAAATTTTTGGAAGTCTGGCCTTCACATGATGTTCAAGGATCTCTCTGCAACACTTTATTTTGAAAAGTGCAACTCTGAAAATTAACATGCAAATTGTAATGTTTATGCAAATTGTAATATTTATGATATATAGGGACTATAGTTTGAGACTAGTACAGTGTTGTAAAACTGTCCCTGATACTCAGCCTATCCAGGTCTGAGATAAGAGTCATCTTCCAGGAATTAAATCTAGAAGAAATAATTGATGCTATTTCCTGAAAACATAAAGAACTCTTTTTTTGTTAATGGTGACAAAAAAGAATGTTCAACCGTTTGAGTCTGGATCCCTTCCAGTTAAACAAAGGACATGAATTTTCTTAATTAGAGAGTAATTGGATTCTGCTTCTCAAGCAAATTACAGGCTTTATATCATAATGAAATAAATTACGTGAGAAAAATGGCTGCGAGCTTTAGGTGAAAAAGTTTATTAAATCTATTGCTCTGCACTGAACTTTAGTAAACTACAACTAAATGGAGTTACTGTCATTGAATCAAATCTATGCTTTTTTACATATTTCTTTCTGTATTTATCTATATCTATATATGTGTGAGGGAAAATGGAAATCTTTCCTGTGCTTCAGAAACTTTTCCCATAAGCTTGCCATGTTTCTGTGCAAGACAAAATGTCTCATCTCAGCAAAGTTAAGAATGATCTCTCAGCTAACAAAGCAATACCTCAGCAATTAACTGAAAAGATCTCCCATTTCCATAAATGGCAACTTGAATATAACTATCTTTGGGGAAAAAAAGCTTTATGATAGAACTTCCTAACATACCTTTAAAGTGGTCATGCTCAACAGGCTTCACTCTGTTACAGTGGAAAAACAGGCATGTGAAATTACTACTAGCAAGGATCTTGTACTTGGTCTGCTAAAACTGGAGTGGTATATTAAAAAATGGGAGAATACTGTACATAACATACCTATTAAAGAAACCAACCCCAGAACAAAGCCTAAAAGCACAACTGTGTTCCCATGAGTCTGAATTAATGGTATGCAAGGATTGTGAGCTTATCAACCAAAAAGGTAAATAAAACCATAAGGGATGTAATAAAGGAACAACAACAAGCTGAATTAAGACAGGTTGTGGTAGATCAGCCTGATAACCTTGTTCATCTTGACTCTCATAAGCAAGCAAGATGTGCTGTAATCTCATTATCAGGTCTTCAGGAATGTGTTTGGTGTTGTGCCACGTGAGGTGTTGTTTATCTGGAAAAGGTGGCACGTAGCAATGTAGCAGGTAAATTGTCAAGTGAGGAAAAATTCAGTGCCATGATGAAAATTCTAATGATATCAAATCTAGTGATCTGAAAGAGACACTCCAAAGTAGTGTAAGCATCGCTCTTATGCATCTATTTTCATTTTCACCCTGCTGTAAATAGTGGCTAAATGCACTGATGTTTTAAATCTGGAAAACATAATTTCATTCAAAGATAGGGTGACACCAGCTAAGTGAATTCGAAGTGTCCTGATAGGACAAAATTGCAAGGTCTTGTGGTTAGGGGCTAATTGCAAAAGTTTCTGCTATCTCTGAGTAAGAAGCAACACATGAGTATATTAATCAGCTGCAAGATAATGATGTTTAAGCAGTGATATGGCAGTGAAAATGGTAAATATGATGCTCAGGTAATTAGTAATGCTTTTGTTACTGATAAGACCTCCTCAGGTGGAGACAGTGTGTTTAGTACAGAGCAGCTGAGTCGGATGAAGGGAAGCTGGAGCAATGCCCAGGTGAGCATGGGAAGTGGAGAACTTAGCCTGGAGTTCACTGGCCTGGGCAGGGTGATATGCTCAGAGAGATCAGGCAAGAACTGGCTTGTGCATTGCTAGTCTTGAACGCTGTAGAATGTGAGAGTTTAGACACTGGCCAAGAAAACTGCTTTCCAGCAAAGTAAGGTTGAAAGAGATGCACCTTCTCTCTATATATGTGGTGGAAAGCACATATTAGAATGGCTAAATGCTTGAATTAAGCTCTAAACCTGCTAATGAGTGAATTAAACTGGAAATAACATTGGGCTTTAGGAGGCAGAATGATGCATTTGTTAGTTAGGGTGATATTGTACCATGATGTGTCTCCTTGTCTCTAGGCTTTGGGTTGTGTTCCTACGTGTGGGAGGAATGATCTGTGTAGCTGGGAAACTTTCACAGCAGTGCTCTCTGTCCCTTCAGTCTCATCTCTTTAATTGCAGCTGCAAAATGGCAGAAGAGTGGCAGTCCCCCAATCACACTAATTTTATTATTTTGTAGTTTGTTTTTACTATAATGCTGACAATGAATTAATTTGCTTTGCCTTAAAGGGAGATTGTGCAGGTTGTTTTTTCTAATGGAATATTTCCTCTGACTAAAAACCAAGTAACTTGTGAATAGCCAGCACTTTCCTTTATGTGTGAGAAGACTAATAGTTAAGGAATGTTGTAGGTTTGGTGTTTGTATTTCTTACTGTAGTTCAAGTGCCTTCCACCTTGTTTGCAGGGATTTTACACATTACAGTCTTTTGATCAGAAATGTATTTATTGTTTCAGCAATTTCAGTGAATGCACTTCTTTCACTGAGGCTGTGTGCACAAGACTATAAAGACAAGTCTTTCAGTTGTTTCTAGAATATTTTGCTTCTAATGTCTTTCTGATGATCTTCCTGCACACATTTATTGTTTCTGACTTCTGACAGTGATATCTTGTGCTATTCCCCTGTGCTAAGTCTGCAGACCACTCATCATTTATTTTCCATTGTCTCCAGCCTCCTCATTTTGTCCTTTCATCATAATTGCCACCTAAACTTAGTTCTACTTTGAGATTTTTTTTGTTTGGTGTGGGATCTGCCTTCACTGTCACAGTTTTCCTCTGAAGAAATTCTGATAAGCCCTTTAGTGATGAACATATCTGGAAATTGTGTAACACACATTTTTTTCCCTCTCCTTCTAAAACAAGGTACTTGGTTCATGTTGCCTCATATTTATGAGTAAAAAAATTGAGACAATGAAAGAGAAGATAACACGTGTCTTTCATATCAGAAAGGCATTTTCCCTGTTGGAGATACATTGGGTTCTCCTATTAAAATTTGTTTTGAGCATATAGAGGGCATGGTATGAATTTAGCTCAGACTTATCTTGTTGGCAATGACTTGCTCCTCTTTCAATTATAGAGCTAAAATTGCACTTGTTGCTGTCCTGATCTATGTACAACTCTGATACCCTGTGAAACCTGCTTTGGCTCAGAGGAAAAATTGGTAATTAGTGTTTCTACAAGTTCTTCATGGTAAATTGTGCGTGTTTCAATCTCATTGCAGCAGTATTTTTCTCTAGCACAAGAATATCTTTGTGTTTGTGGGTAGTGTACAGCTTGTGCTCACGATAACCAGTAGTAATCCACCAGGGTTTCTTTTCAATTGAGAAGCCTTGAATTCAAAGGACTGCAAGGGCACAAAACAATGTTTTTTTTTTCTCACTTTTTTCTTAATTGCTTGATCTGAAGGTTTCTCAGCCTCCATACTTCCTAAGCTTTGGGGTGATGTGGCAGCCGTGGTAGCCAGAGTGCCTGTGTTGAGGACCTTGATTTTTTTTGTGCTTACTTAAGGGTGAAAAGAAGAATGGGCAGTTGCTTTTATGTTCATGATGGTTCTAAGCAAGAGACTTCGTTTTCCAGAGCTTGTATGTCCCTACTTGAATTTAGACTTTACCATCATTTGCCAGGGAATCTTTAACCATGTTCTTAGGGAGAAGCAAAGAAAAAAGGTACAAGGTCTTTGCTCTGTTTTGAATCTTTCTTTATGACTTTTTTTTAAGATTACTACAAAAATTATTTAGGCCTCTCTGGCTAAAAAGACTGAAAAGGCAGAACTGTGTCATAGTTGTAGCTGGTTTTCTTTGCAAACAAATCTTATTTCAGAACAACTGAAAATCTGAATAAAATTTGGATGGATTGTGGGTGTATTTTTCGCACCTAAAAATATCATCCATGGCTCAAGAATGAAAACTATAGAATCCGTTCCTCCTCTAATTGTGGTTTAGTGTAAAGCTGATGGAAAGCTGGACGCTTTTAATTCAAAATTCTCAAAAGCTGAAGGGAAGTCCTATTTTGTGAACAAAAAAAAGTGGAGCTCCTGAAAGGTCTTTCCCATTCCTAGTGCCATAAGGCTACTAAGTGTAAACTAGGTGGCATAATTATGTTTGGGGTTTTTTTTTGTTTGTTTTGTTTTGTTTTAATTGCTGTTGGGTTTCTGGGAGTTCCCAGTGTACTGTTTGTAATTGGATGTGCTCCCAAAAGGGAAGGCTGGCTGCATTGACCCGAATAGGTGAACAGTGGCAGAGGAGCACTGGGTGCAGCCATCAGCTGTGAGAAGGATCCCCTGCTGATGTCTGGGACCTTGGTGGGGGTTTCCTGCCTTCCTGCAGAGCTGTGGCCTCACAAAGACACAAGACATGATGTGGAGGATGCCATGGCTCAGTGGATGTGCTGTTATCCTGCACAAATGAAGTTAGTGCTTTGTAGCCAGGGAGAAGCTGTTCTCAGTCTCTGAATTGAGAAAACACCAGAACACTGAGAATTTTTTTTAGAGACCAGACCGGGAAAGGATTCATTTCCCTGAAGAGCTTTACAGTTCCCATTATTCCCGAAGAGTTGTGTGTTCTTGAATTTGTAAATGGTGTTCTTGCTCCTCTGCTGGCTCACATCTTATTATCTCCCAGAGCCTACAGAGACATATCAAAATGATCCATTGTCCTTCCCTTACCAAGGGTAAAATTCACACCAGTTTCACAGGAGTTGGGCTGCTTTGGGCTGTGGTACCTGAGAAAAGAGTTGAAAGAATATGGGGTGATAAACCAAAACATGCTGTTTCTTCAGCCTCTGTCTATTCATGTTTGATGTGAACAAAGTAGTTTGATTTTCATTATAGTGGGCAAATGTAAAGGAAGATGCATGAAATGGAAATGACCTACAGTTGTAGAATCTAATTCTAATCTAGAAAGATTTTCCTTTTTCTTCTTTATTAATGCAATGTATTTTCCTTGGCTTCCTCAAAACAGCCTTGGAACTTCACAGTCTATCCTAAAACATCACTAGAAATGCAGGTTGCCCATGATTTATGGTTTTGATGTGATAATAAGTTATCAAGCGTTGATAAGGGCCATTTGAAACTGCTGCTGCAACCTCTTAATTATTTAATGGCCGCTGAAGAACCAGGCCTCTATCAGAGCTCTGACATTTAAAAAAATTCATTCAGTTTTACCTGTGGGCTCAGGGATGCTTTTCTCTCATTAAAACAAGTAGAAGATGTTAATGGAGAAAGAATTAATAAACTCAAAGAAATTGTCCAGGGGAATGTGAGTGCACTGAATTTTGAGGCATGGAAATATTAAACCAGCAGCCCAGTATCTGGTGATGGCAAAGCTCACATCTGCCTCTCAGATGCTCTGCTGCTCCAGGACCAGCAATGCTCCTGAGGTGTTCTTTACAACACAGTGGAGAAAGGAATGTTCCCAGAATGGATGCTGTGAGATGAACCCTCTCCAACAGCTGATTGACAATGTTTGTGACAGTTCCTTTCAGAAACCCATCTCTCTACTATCTGTCATATAGTTTCTGTCTTTTTGTCTTAATTGCAGGGACATTATTTAAGACCAGGCTTTGCCAGGGTCCTCATTTTTGTCCAGGTTTAAAGATATGTTCCCTTTCTTCACAGCTACTGGTGGTGTAATGTAAGTAGGAATGGTGATACCGGGTAGGGGAATGTGTAACAAGAAAACTCTTAGTCTTTAGTTGTGGTCTGTCACTCAGACTAAACAATAATATTTTATTGTATTTATATTAATAATATTTATAATATAGTCTATTATATGTTATAAAAATATACCCAATATAAATATTTCTATTATATATTTTACAATAATGTTATTATTATTTTGCTGTTCCTCCCCATCTTTTGGGGTTTTTTTCTGTATCTTGAAAAATTATTTCTAAAATATAAATATGATTGTACAAAATATTTTGAAGCATCAGTGGATAAGAATGTAAAATTTCAGGCAGTGTAATTTCCCCTCTTTATAGGCATCAACAGTTATTCTGTTTGCTGTCTGAGCAAATACGAAATTTGCATCCATTAACAGACAAAAAAGAATGTTACCAGGAAAATGTTTGCAGTCTGAACAAATACAAAGTTTGCATCCATTAACAGACAAAAAAGAATGTTACCAGGAAAATGGAGCCAGGATCTTTACTGAGGTGGTAGAAGCAGACAGTGCTCATAGGTGGAAACAGGAGTGGCTTGGATTAGGTATATGGAAAAAAAACCGCGGGATAATTAATTATTGGAACAGGTTTGCCTGGGAGGTTGTGGAGTTTTGGAGATTTCCAAGACCCATCTGGAGATTTTCAAGCCCCAGGCAACCTGGCCTGGTCTCACTCAGCTTTGAGAAGGAGGCTGGACTACATAAACACTTCAGATTCCTTCCAGCCTGATGATTCTGTGACTGATAAAACTTCCCATGTTACTTAGTGACTTCTCATGTTAGTATATTCTGCAAGAACTACATTAAATATTGAGGAATCAAAATGATGGATCGAATTAATTGTAAGGTGGGAGTGAAATTTTCACTAAACCAGGTTTAACCTGGTTCTCCTCCAAGCTGCAGAATATAAAGTCAGACCAAATCTTGTGGGTACAGAACATGGCTCTATATGGGTGTAAAATAATTTGGTTTAGAAAAAAATCAAATTTTTATTTTTTTAAGGTTTTCAACCTGCCTGTCTGATCTAATAGTTTTGAAGAATGAAACTTTTTTTTTTTTTTTCCCCCATTAGTAGGACAAAGAATAAAATCGATTCTCTTTCTGTGAGTCCACTTTTCCTAGTGAGTTTTCCAGGGAAAACGAGGATGAGCACCTGGCTGAATTTCATTGTGGGTGACAAAACAGTAGAGATGCATTGCTTTCAATTTTCAAATGTGCTCTATTCAGTCGTAGCTCCCAGAATGAGTCTTTCTGATTGACTTTGAGGCAGTTTATTGCAGTGAATTGCATCCCCTTTTTCAGTGAGTTCTGTTATGCCTTGAGTCAAAGAGAAGGCCTTTCAGACAGCTCAGTGGAGTCTCTGACAGTGATCCAGAAAAGGCAATCAATAGTTGCCTTTGAGGGGTATTATTTCCCTCATAATGGAGTCATATTTGACTATTGCTGTAAAGGCATGGCTATTTATGGGTAATTCTGTGTAATTCACTGTAATGAGCATTTCCTTTCCTTTGCTCACTCCTTGCTACAGGTACCTCAACCTGGGTTTGTTAAATTATTATTTGAGCCAAGAGTCACTCCAATCCTTCAACCTTCACTGCTATGTTAGATACCTGTCTAGATATTACCATAACGTGTCCAAGAACCTTGTTTAGCTGTTAACTATGATTGCATTGTATGAGGAAAAAATTAACTTTGGGACCTTCCATATCCAAATTTTGCTCAGGAAAATTGGACACGTTGTCTTTCACATAATATAATCCATATACCTAGTATTTTGTGACTCTGAGGTTTTAATTCAGAATTATACTCAGAGAGTTCTTCACCAACATCCAAAAATAATAATAAATTACCAGAATATTGAGATGAGTTTTTGTTATCAGTTGTCAGCAAAAGATGGATTTTTACCTCTGTGACTGAAATGAACAGCATTATATGTGAAAAGCAGTCTATTCTCATGTTGACAAAGCCTCCCACAGCTAAAGAAATTGGGCCTAACGTGATTGCTGAATGTCAGATCCATTAGAGCATAATCTTTGATCATCTGATTTCTTATTTTGCATTGTTAATAGTCCACTGGTTCTATATCATCTGTACCACTTGTGAAACTTTGGGCCATGATGTTACACAGTGTAAGAGTTTTGTTTTTTTTTTTTTATAGTCATAGTAAGAAGAAATGCTTAGACCTGACCCATATATCTCTCTAATATTGTGTGCAGATTATTTTTGGGAAACTCTCAGCCTCAGAGGCCGTTTTTTTGGTGCTTATTCTTTAGAAGAAAAGATTAAATGTGTTCTATTTGCTGTTGCTTTCTGCACTGCACTCTCTCGCTCGGGTTTTTTTGGCTATGAGTTCTTAATATTACCAGGTGCTGGAATTTTACAGAAGCATCTGCTGTCAGCAGGATGAGAATTTGGATCTATAGTCACACAGTTCTAGAGCACTCTGACTTGGTGTTGTTGGTCTGTAGCTAA